ACCAAATGGCACATTTTGAGTTCAATTTTTTCCGTGTTCATTTCTTTCGTAAATTCATAATTTGCAAATTTTTTTGTTTCCTAATCATCCTTCATACAAAAATAATTTAGAATGAAGGATCAAAGATGGCTGATGCTTTCAGTTCCGTCCAGTATTATAAATGTCATCATGTCATTGCTCTGTTACAGACGCAAAACTGAAGCGACAAACTGAAACAGCAACTGCAACAAGAGAATGCAGCGATATTCATACAAACACACTGTAGACATGAACTCTAAATTTAATGCTAAATGCGCAACTGGCATAAAGTTTACAAGCCAGCGGGTGGGAGGTTTCTCCAAGGAAATCTGTGGTATCTGTGGCGAACAAAGAGTTCATCGAAGAGACGGATAAAAATTTCGATTTTATCACGGAAATACCGTTCCGATTTCTTGGAGTTGGAGATTTTAACGTTTCTATTGTCACAGAAAACTAGATTTAAGTGCTTCTTTGGAATGAAATGTCCAGTGGTGTAATTAATTTTTTAAGATTCTTCTCTACCGTCGAGTAATCATCGGTAATCATACCGACCGGTCACACTTTTGAGGGCCAGTGCACAGCAAGATTAAGGGGTTTAGACACAGTAATTGTGCGTATTTTCAGCTCTTCAGAGCTAGTGAAACTCCGTATCATTCCTCTAAAAGTTCGCTTAGCTGTAGCGATGAAAGGGGAAGCTAAATGACAGGTATTTGTGAGAGACTGTGAGCATTGAATCTTGTTGCTTTACCGCATTTTAATACTGTATTGGGAATACACCTGTAATTCTGTAATTAAATCCCGAAAACTTATAAAAGGTTTCGTTTAATTATTTTTTGGGAGCAAACCCAGTGGAGATATTGATGATTAAGACGATGTACAAAAGGCAAGTTTAACTTTTGCTTGTGGGTGTTGGCTGTAAATTAGTGCAATTTGTGGCGTACTGTGTGTTTTTGTCATGATGTCAACTGACATTGAAAAAAATTCACCCGTTTCAGAGGAGGGACATGTCTTGACAGCTTATATTTTTTATCTGGTCGTAAGCTTGGCCAGTATGCAGATCAAGAGTTTTTGTATCCCTTTTCCAAAATAAACCTCCGCACTTAAGCTTAAAATATATATTGATCCAAGTGCATGACCAGCAGGGTCTGCAGTAAGAATAAAGAAAAAAGGCCAAAAGAAAAAATAGTGTGAAAAAAAACGATACAAAGAAACTGAAAGCAGCGTCGCTGGGAGTCGAATCCGGTTTATCTGCACATGCAAGGAACTCCTTGACCACTGCACCATAGTGACACACATGATTTGAAAAATTAATCTTGTCATATCAAAACAATTTTTCTCTACCGTAGACGCTGTTTGAAGCTGGTGGAGCTGTATTTATCATGAATTCAAATATACATTTGAGGAAAACTAACTTAAGCGCGTAGTTCAAAGCTATTTCGCATTATTTCCGGTTCAACGGGCCGACTCGATGTAGATAATCGAACGAACTAGCTTTACTGAATTTTGTGGAGAATTCGAAAGGAATGATATGAAGTTAGGCCCATTTAATTAGCAAAAGAATAGATGAAATATAAACATGCATGATCTGCGAATGGAACCTCCTATTCTCGAGACTAGACCTTGCCGATTTTAGAGAAAAAAAAAGATTTAAGTCTTGATGACCTTGCCGGTCCCGTGAAATAGATGGCGATCCCGCAACACTGCTCGCAAAACAAATTAACAAAATTCTACAATCACGGACACAAAGTATCAAAACGGTTTACACAAGCAGATTATAGCAACAGCAAAGCTCACACACATTCGCTCAAATAAGCGATATATAGCCATATTTGTTAGCTTCTTTGCTTTTCCTCGACCTCGCTCATCCAAATAACTGTCGTATCCCTTGCTAATTTACACAAGCGACCAGAGGCTCTTGCCCGTTACTTTGTGACGTCATACTGCAAGCGGAGTGGGTCAAGAAACTTAGGTGGAAAACAATAGAGTTACCCCCTGTTTACAAGCCAAAATAGTTAATTGAAGTTCTAAAAATGTTCAAAAGCTTAACTGCCTGGATAGTACTTCAAACTAAAGTCTTCATAAACCAGGAACAGTTAGTTTTAGCAAAAGAAGGTGTAAAAAGTCCATGCCGCCACACTCTTCTTCACAGCAACACTAAAAAAAAAACAAACAAACTCTGCCAAAACTTCATCATTTGCTTGTTTCCAAATGTCTATATATGGTCGTACAAAGGGTTACATAACAAACCGGTGGCGCATGACTTTGAAAAGGACTGTTCGTAGGAGTGCGAGCCTCGTAACAGCTGTTATTGTTCACTGCGAACGAGCAAATTACTCCCCTAAACACATTTTCTAATACGTTCACCATTCAAAGGACACAATATCATGCAATAAAATTGTTTCTTTTAGCATATGTGACGGCCTTCTGGGTCGCCATATATTTTTTTTTTAATGTCACGCGGAGTAAACTTGAGAAATTAGAAAGAGCTATTGATATTTTCAAAACGGAGAAAGCTATCACTTTGAAAACTTGCAGAGAAATTTATTTTTAACAGACATTTTACTAGACGGAGATTAAGACTTGAAAGTCCTTGCGGTTTTGGAGATAGGATTTTTGTGACGTCACTTGAAAACCAAGAATAAAGACTAATGGTAATAACCAAAGGGAATATGCTTTGTGGAAAAAAGAAAATTATTAAAAATAACTTTGTCGTCGGCGTCATATCACATTATTTTTAACAAGAAATACGTGTATGGTAGTACCTCCCGGGGCTCAGGGGAGGCCCTTGAAATGTCAAGGATGGAAAGGCGGGAGAGAAATGGAGTAAATAGTGTGACTGGGGAGGCCTAGGGCGGGTTTCAACGCTGCCTCTAATATTGGAAGGCGGATGTTCTTAATCTACTTTTGGTCGGAGTAAATTTGAACCCCTTCTAAAGAGCTATAAAGCAACAATTATTTACACTCTACAATGTTGGAAAAAAAAAACATTCAGTCTGGGAAATTCTCCAGCTTTATTGAGAATGAAGGGACTGCCTTGCTAACTTCCACGACATAAAATTAGATACACTGTGCATGATAGTTTCTCAAATTTTGCAAAAAAAGTATCAGCACAATGTAATATAACAAAGTGTATTTGAACAGATGGCTAAACTTTGACAGTTTTTACCACGATCCCAATCAGTAAGAATGGAATTGTCTTTAGTGTCTTATCTTACAGTTTTAAATTATCAACTATAGATGAAACTGAAGAATTATGCGCA